GAGAAAGGTCCATGAGTGACTGAATAGAAAGTACATTCTAGCTGTTGTTGGAAGAAATATTCTGCTAATGTCTGTTAAGTCCCCTTGATTTATAATATAGTTTAAATCTGTTCTTTGTTGTTCTTCCTGGATGACCTATCAATGAGAGTGGTGTTTTGAAATCTCCTAATATTATTGTGATGGGCCATATGTCCCTCTATATTGATCAATGTTTTATGAAACTGGGTGCACCAATGTTTCGAGCACCAATATTTACATTTGTTATATGATCTTATTCCCTTGACCAACACATAATTTCCTTCTTTGCCTCTTCTGATGCATTTTACTTTGAAGTCTGCTTTGTCTGCTAGCAGTAGCTAGTCCTTCTCGCTTCTGAATTGCATTTGCATGGAACATCATTTTCCATTCTTTGACTTTCAGTTTGTGAATGTCTGCCTGTAAGGTATATTTCCTGGTGTGATTTATTCTTTCTGCGCCTCTATTTTTTTGTTTTTCTTTTTGAATAAAGGATTATTTTAATTATCTTCCAAAATTCTGGCTTAGTAGTCATGAATTCCTTATCTCAGAAAGATTTTATTTAAATTTTTGAAGAATAGCTTTTTGAAGGATGATTTTGAAGAATAGCTTTGCTGAATATAGTAGTCTAGGTTGGTAGTTGTTTTCTTTTAGGTCTTGAAATACATAATTGCATGCCCTCCTGGCCTTTAGAGTTTCTGCTAAGAAATCTTCTGTTATTCTGATGGGTTTTCCTTTGTAAGTCACTTGGTGCTTCTTTCTTACAACTTTTAAGATTCTTTCCTTGTTCTGAATTTTTGACTTTTTGGTCCTGTTTATTTGGGGTTCTAAGTGCTTTGAATATCTGAATGTTAATCTCATCCACTGAATAAGTTTTCTATACCATTAGTCTGTATTTCTGGTCCTTCTTCAAGATCTATGGGTCTTTTGGTCTTTTAATGTTGTCCCAGAGCTCTTGAATACTCTGCTCGTAGTTTGTTCTAAATCAACAAGCTTGTCTTCAAGCCCTGATATTCTTTCTTTTGCTTCATCTAGTCTGTTGGTTAGGTTTTTACTAAAATGTTCATTTGATTTATTAAATTTTTCATCACCATGATTATTGTTTAGTTATTTTTCAGAATCCTTTTTATTGATATATTCTTTTATAACCTGTACTTTCTCCCTTAGTTCATTGCTTCTTTTTCCTTTTCATTCACTAATCATTTTAATAATAAATTTTTAAAAAATAATTCATTGTATTGCATTTCATCTACTTCAATATCTGAATTTGGTTACTTGGGAGCTATGAACTTTTAGAGTTGTCTTGTTTGCTTATGTCCTCATGTTTCCTGTGTTTCTATGTTGTTGCTTGCACATGTATTGTGATGGATTTGACTTCCTCTGCTGTGTGAGTGTCTTTTCAGTGAGTAGTTTTCTCTTTACAATATTCCTTGCTGGGGGTATAGCTCAGCATCAAAGCACCCATCAGTATGATGAAATTGTTCGGTTCAATCACCAGCACCACTCATTATGCAGCCATACCTCTATCAACTTCTTTCAGTCTCAGGCAGCCAGTATATATTGGGTGCCTCAAGTCCATAATCTCTGTAGGGTACTTTTCTTTCTTTTTTTTTTTAATATTTATTTTTTAGTTTTTCGGCGGACACAACATCTTTGTTTGTATGTGGTGCTGAGGATCGAACCCAGGCCGCACGCATGCCAGGCGAGCGCACTACCGCTTGAGCCACATCCCCAGCCCTGTAGGGTACTTTTCTAAATGAATGAAATATAGCAGCTCTATATGGCAGAGGCACAATTGTATGCCAAGTATATAACAAGTTTGCAGTAAACATGTGTTGATTTAATGGTGAATGATAAGCTGTTGTCTATGATAAGCATGCAGTGTTTTTTACTGCATGACTTTCTCACACTTTTCTTTGATTAGTTCTCTAGTTATTCTGTTATTACAAATAATTTGCCTCTAGTTTAAATCATGTCTATTTCAGTTGAATTTTCAGCCATTTTTGGTCATTCAGTGCTTTTTTATAATAATACTACTAACCCTTTTGTCATGTAGCCCAATTTTAGCAACTGCAACTATATACTGAAAAAAATTAAAAAAAAAATGAGAGCATTCTTTTAGAAAGTCCTCCTTTCGGGCTAAAAGCATGCAATGGAGGAAGGATAGCATCTTCAACAAATGGTGCTGGGAAAACTGGAAATCCATATGCAACAAAATGAAACTGAATCCCTTTCTCTCGCCATGCACAAAAGTTAATTCAAAATGGATCAAGGAGCTTGATATCAAATCAGAGACACGCCGTCTGATAGAAGAAAAAGTTGGCTACGATCTACATACTGTGGGGTCGGGCTCCAAATTCCTCAATAGGACACCCATAGCACAAAAGTTAATAACTAGAATCAACAAATGGGACTTACTCAAACTAAAAAGTCTTTTCTCAGCAAAAGAAACAATAAGAGAGGTAAATAGAGAGCCTACATCCTGGGAACAAATCTTTACTCCTCACACTTCAGATAGAGCCCTAATATCCAGAGTATACAAAGAACTCAAAAAATTAGACAATAAGAGAACAAACAACCCAATCAACAAATGGGCCAAGGACCTGAACAGACACTTCTCAGAGGAGGACATACAATCAATCAACAAGTACATGAAAAAATGCTCACCATCTCTAGCAGTCAGAGAAATGCAAATCAAAACCACCCTAAGATACCATCTCACTCCAGTTAGATTGGCAGCCATTATGAAGTCAAACCACAACAAGTGCTGGCGAGGATGTGGGGAAAAGGGTACACTTGTACATTGCTGGTGGGACTGCAAATTGGTGCAGCCAATTTGGAAAGCAGTATGGAGATTTCTTGGAAAGCTGGGAATGGAGCCACCATTTGACCCAGCTATTCCCCTTCTCGGTCTATTCCCTAAAGACCTAAAAAGAGCATGCTACAGGGACACTGCTACATCGATGTTCATAGCAGCACAGTTCACAATAGCAAGACTGTGGAACCAACCTAGATGCCCTTCAATAGATGAATGGATAAAAAAAATGTGGCATTTATACACAATGGAGTATTACTCTGCATTAAAAAATGACAAAATCATAGAATTTACAGGGAAATGGATGGCATTAGAGCAGATTATGCTAAGTGAAGCTAGCCAATCCCTAAAAAACAAATGCCAAATGTCTTCTTTGATATAAGGAGAGTAACTAAGAACAGAGTAGGGTCGAAGAGCATGAGAAGAAGATTAACATTAAACAGGGATGAGAGGTGGGAGGGAAAGGGAGAGAGAAGGGAAATTGCATGGAAATGGAAGGAGACCCTCAGAATTATACAAAAGTACATACAAGAGGAAGTGAGGGGAAAGGGAAAAATAATACAAGGGGGACAAATGAATGTCAGTAGAGGGGGCAGAGAGAGAAGAGGGGAGGGGAGGGGGGATAGTAGAGGATAGGAAAGACAGCAGAACACAACAGACACTAGTATGGCAATATGTAAATCAATGGATGTGTAACTGATGTGATTCTGCAATCTGTATATGGGGTAAAAATGGGAGCTCATAACCCACTTGAATCAAAGTGTGAAATATGATATATCAAGAACTATGTAATGTTTTGAACAGCCAACAATAAAAAATTAAAAAAAAAAAAGAAAGTCCTCCTTTCAGGCAAAGCTATCTTAGTTATGGTAGTGAAATTTAGCTATCCTACCAGATCTATAAGATAAAGACACTTGTTGGTTGATTTTTGCCATGTGTTATCCTTCATCCACTTCCATTTCATGAGTTTTAACTGTTATCTTTCTTGATGTGCCTCTACACTATTTTGTCACTAGGATACAGCCTCTTGTGAGACTTTAAGTGAGTGACTAAACCACTTGAAATGTGGTTTCCCTTTTGCAAATTGAGAATAACCAATCTATAAAGTCTCCTTGGTCGATTCCAATGCAAAAGTTTTATGAATAAAAACTAAGTGAATATATGAGACGTTTTCAACTTTTCCTTCTCTTCCTTTTTCTTTAACCCTATAAACATTTGTGGGAGAATAAAGAAAATGTTAATTGTTTTCCTATTTTATTCCTAAGTGATCTCTGCACTCAGATAGGGTTTGAAAGTATACCTGCACAAAGGGAGACTGGCAGCTTCTCCTGACCAGGCTACCAGCCAGCTTCTCAAAATATCAGCTCACTCCTGGAGCAATTAATATGAAATTCTTGGGAGTTTTCTCCTGATAACCCACACTGAACATTGTACTGTAAATTGTATATGACAGCTGGGGTGAGTTTTCAAAAAGTAAACATTTCTTGTCCTTCTCCTATCTTCCATACTTCCCACAGCTCTCTTTCTCAACTGCTCCAGCCATGCTTTCGTTTTACCAGTGTCTAGAAGGCACTGATCTCTTCCCTGCTCCGGCCTTGGCAACATCTTTCCCTCTCAGTCACTCTGCCAGTGTTTCTTCCCCAACTTTCCTCTCTCCTCTCCTTGCTTTCTCAGACAGCCCAAACTGGCTCCTTCTCATTTTTCAGATGTTATTTTAAGTGTTCTATTTCAAAGGAGCCCTCTGTAACCACCCAATTGAAAGTTGGTTATTACTATAAATCTCTATCACAGAGCACTGTGTATTGCAAACATAGCTTTAATTGTAATTTGCAAATTTTCATTTTTGTACTCTTATTTATCATCTTATTCTCTCTGAAACTGTAAGTTCTGTGAGGACAGAAACCATATCCAGTGACCAGAACATAAAATTTGCTCAATAAACATTTGTTGAATGGATGGAAGAGCACTATAAGTGCATCTTCAGGGGCTGAGGTTATGGCTCAGTGGTAGAGCGCTTGCCTAGCATGTGCGAGGCGCTGGGTTTGATTCTTAGCACCACATAAAAATAAATAAATAAAATAAAACTATGTGTCCAACTACAACTAAAAAAATAAAAAAAAAATAAATGCATCTTCAACAATTTTATATGTACTTATTATTGATTTCTTAGATATCCTGTGCTTTACCAGCTAGAGAGATGACATCCATTACCAGAATGAAAAGAATGTTTTATAGAGTAAATATTTCAAATTCTTATTTTTGAATGATTTGTTTTCTTCAGTACGAAAGACTTCTTCTTTTATATTTTTTATTTTATCTGCAGATTGGAAACAAAGGAATCTATAAAGCCATCAGTGAACTGGATATTCTTCTGTCCTGGATTAAAGAACTGTTAGAAAGCATTCAGTAAATCAAGAGCCCAAACACATTGATTTGATAGTTGTTTTGAAATACAATGATAATAATTAGAAATAAATTTATAACAGCATTCTTCTTTAAAAATTTTGTACACATTTCTGATAATAAATTAGATAATTCAAAATAGATGAGAGAGATTTAAAGTAATAAAGTCTTAGAAATAAGTAAATTGTCAATAACTTGTACATTTTCTATGTTTTTAAAGAATATCTTGGTTCTATTTTGTTATTTACAAGTGTATAGTAAAAATTTAATTTAAAGATGTACAAACTGAGTTAACTCACATATTATTTGTGGAAGAAAAACGACAAATTACTGGAATATGATATAATGCTGTGGAGACATAAATAGATGCTATATACAAGGTATTGCCTACTTAATGGTCTGATAGTTACTAATTATGCCCAGTGTGAACTTAGCTCTTAACTGGTTTTGATTTTAATTAAATGGTGTTTCTTTCTCCTGGATATCCCTTCCATGATAGCATACTTTAATTTCATTGGTTGCAATAGATAATGATAAGATCAGATCACATAGAACATACTGGTCAACTACCTATTCGGAATGATTTACTAGGAACATCTTTGACAGATAACCCAAGCTGGAAAGACCACAAGCAGTCAAGTTCAAATGATGCTGAAGCTCGATAATGCTCCTTCTGGGTGTCATAAAATTTGGAAAGTCGCCAGAGGCCAAGTCAAAGTAAAAATGTAGCTCAGATGTCACACAATCAACTTTTGCAAGGTCTAAAAACCTCATTTTCACAGTTAGCTTTTCTGTTAACTGAGTAACATGGCCTGGCCACAGTTTCTTATAAAAGGGACCCTGCTTCACTGTGATTAGCATATGGCAGTAGAAGACATGGGCTGTTTCTGACCTCATGGCCTGACAGCCAGCTAGGTCACTCTCAGGACATTCATAACATTCTCCTGTGTGCAGACAACACTGATTTGGTGTCCTGTGCTACGAACTTTTAGTTTCCTTAAGATCTTCACCCGTGATGTACTTGGCAACACTTCATTTATTTTCCTACCATCCAGTTCTTTTCAATCATATGGTGCTTAGGCTGTTCACTAAGTACCATCCTCTCTTGATTGATCTTGTATTTCAAAGTCACCTCTTCCTGCTTTCCCCATCAATTGTGATCCCATTTCTTGCTCTATGCAGACCTCTTTACTAGACAAGACCATAGGATAGGGAAGATGTGGTGATGGGTTGGGGATCTGAGGAGGACTATCTTCATTTAACACTCAATGCACGGCTTCCTGAGGAGACTCTGAGGCCATTGGTAGTGGGACAGACTTCTTTCCTCAGGAACATTTGACAGAGCTGGGATCTGGGGACTTAGAAACCTGGTCCCTGGCTTTGCCTTGTATCAGAGAGGAGACTGTGTACTCACAACCTCTCCTTACCCCACTTTTAGTACATTATGGGTGAATAATGTACTCATGGCTGAGTCTCACTGTGCTGGACTTCCATAGGTCCCCAGTGTCCAGTCTTGCTGACAAGTCATTTTTAATCTGACCATTACTTAGGGTCTCTAGATTTCAGTGAGGCTGGGAAACATTCTTCTGACGGTCAGCAAAGAAATGGACTTTAGGTTTTTAAGGATAACATTTCACCTACCTCCCTAATATTTTTAGGCAACTAAAGTCAATATTTTAGTTTGATTGTTTCCCAAATTGTTTTGTTTGCCAAGAACAGTCAAAATGAAAACAATCTGGGATTCTCATGGAAAATAGTATCCCTTAGGATTAAGTGAGTAAAATCTCTCAGGGGGGAATAAGACAGTCAAGTTAGCACTCGGTCTTACAGAGTTAACATACATACCAGAAAATTAGAAGTTAAAAAAGTGGACCAGTCTTCAAGTCTATAAAGTTAAGATAACACACCAGGAGATGGGAGGTTGAGAAGCCAGTTCAGCCTTCTGAGACCATGTGGTCAGTAGAAATACCAAGAAGCTAGAGGCAGACAAGGTTACTAAAAAGAGACAGGACAACAGCTTTCTCTGCTCTGAAAAAAAAATAAGATTCTCCTTGATGATAAGAAACAACTCCAGATGATATGGGGCAAATACATGCATAGAATTGTCACTAAACTAATCTGCATTTGGCTGGGTGTGGTGGTGCACACTTGTAATCCCAGCTACCTGGAAGGTGGAGGAAGGAGGATCACAAGTTTGAGGCCAGTCTGGGCAACTTAGTGAGACCCTGTCTCAAAATTAAATGGAAAAGGGACGGGGATGTAGCTCAGCATAGATCACTTGCCTCATATATATGAGTGCAAGCTTTGGTTCGGTCCCAGTAACCACAGCTCTGGTATTCTCCAGTTACTTTTACTTTCTTAGTAAAAATCATACCTTGAGGTGGACACTTCATATGGAAATTAGATATGTGCTGATGAAGAGGCATGATGAAGAAAAAGCACAGGAGCAATATGTATGTGCTGACATCAGGAGACTAGGTCCCTGCCTCCCCTGAAGAAGCCATAAAGGCTGCACACCTTTGTCCTTTGTTAGAGTCAGCTTGGGATTTCTGGCTCCCATACACTACCTCCCTTATACTCAAGCGTAAGAATAAAATCTTGCTTCTGTGCCATTGTGCTTTTTTCTTATTCTTCTGATAACACAAGAACCCACAGAGTCACTGATGAAAAGGTGACTGTGCTCAGGTGCAATATAGGAGTATAAAAGCCATCACTGAGGGAAACAACCAATGCCCATGTGTTGGTACCTGTTCCCAAATGAGTAATTTTCAAATTCTAGAGGGGAAAAGCATAATGTTTGTGTTTTGAGGTAAGGACTGGTATATTGAAGAGGCAGCTGTGGAGAAGCTGATATCCTTGTGTACAGGGAGGAGACGTGTCTTCCTGGGGTCATTGTGGGTGAAGTCCACTGGTGTGCAGGTGGCATTCTGGGATTTCACCAGACACGATGACACTTTGGAAATGGTTGCACTCCCCCAAATGCCCATGCTATATCAACTCAAAATCCACTTAGCATTTACAGAAGGAGATGCCCTACTGTTGATTCTTCCTGGAACATTCCTATGAGACTAAGTGTCCTGTTAAAATGTTTTGTCTGCCAGCATTTATTAGAATTAGTTAAACAAATCTATAGTACAGGGTAAAGTAGAAGGAGTCTGAGTATCAACAAGCAGTGCTGGGTGCTGGTAAGACCACTCAGTGAGGTCAAGGGATGTGGCCAGCCCTGACTTATTGGGGGGACACCCACACAAAACTGCGACCCCCTCCCAGCAAGCCCCTCTTTCCTGCTTCACTTTTCTCTAAACTACTTCTATCCTGCTGGCAAGCATGTCTGTTTATAGACTGTCTGGACCATCTTAGAGTATTGGCTGTGTGTGGCAGGGCTTTGGTCTGCTTTGTTCTCTTCTCTCTAGGGTCCCTTGCACCTGAATAGAACCTGAACACAGGGCTCTCTATATCAGCATTGATACAATGTACAAACCCATAAGAGAATGATTGAAGCTGGGGTCTGACTGCTCTTGGGGTGTGTGGTCATCTTGGGATTTGTGGCCAGGTCACACTGCCTCCTGGGCCTCTGTTTCTGGGTGGGTCCTGATTGAAATGAACTACTTCAGGCGCTTCATTCAGACATTTTCCCACTGACAGACTGAGGTCTCGTGTACTCTAGCTACCCTGGTGCTCTCAGATAACATACTCTCCTCCCTTGCCCTCAACTGCTTCTACTATCATCCCAAGCCTTTGAATGGTTAATTTCTCCTGATTCTTTGAGATTTCATGCAAACATCCTCCTGATGTTAATGGTTTCTTTTTTTTTTTTATTAAGACTATACTTATTTTTATAGCTTTGTTTTATTTATTTTTTATTTTCATGTGGTGCTGAGGTTCGAACCCAGTGCCTCATACATGTTAGGTGAGTGCTCTCTACCACTCAACCATAACCCCAGCCCAATGGTTTCTTATATGCTATTATGTCTTCACAGAACTCACATAATAATTTCTTTACTGGGTATAACATCTGTATCCCCCATTGGACTGTCTGATTCACTGTATTTCTGCCTAGAATCTTATACATAGGAAGTTTGCAACAAATACTTGCTAAGTAAGTAAGTATATAAAGTAGTGAATTGAATTAGATGGTCTGTCATATTTCACACTTTGATTCAAGTGGGTTATGAGCTCCCATTTTTACCCCATATACAGATTGCAGAATCACATCAGTTACACATCCATTGATTTACATATTGCCATACTAGTGTCTGTTGTATTCTGCTGCCTTTCCTATCCTCTACTATCCCCCCTCCCCTCCCCTCCCCTCCCCTCTTCTCTCTCTGCCCCCTCTACTGACATTCATTTGTCCCCCTTGTATTATTTTTCCCTTTCCCCTCACTGTCATTTTTTTTTTTTTTGCCACTCTAATTTCCTGGTTGGCATGAGCCTTAAGGAATGGAATTTAATAGTGCTTTCTGACTCTAATCCTCTAAAAGCACCTATGTTATTATTTACACAGCAATGAATTTAAATCAACGCCTTTTTAAAAATTTGCTCTAAATAAAAGGTAATTCAATATCTGACTTAAAAAATAGATTACTTGAATTTAAACAATTGCGTTCTTAACTAAATATGTTCACATGTGTACCATGGAATCATCTTGCAAACTTTGGGCAGACTGTGTCTTACAGCTTGGAAAATACTGCATAATAATGAATTTCCACTGCCTCATTTTGGTCCAGCTTAGAACGTACAAAATTGAAACAAGGCCATTTTAACCTACCCACAGATACCAGTTTACAAAAGGTCAAGCCTAATGCTCAGGTTTCAAACTGGTTTCAGAGCTCCTGTCATTTTTTCCGGAGATGGAAGGACAAAAGCATGCTCATTCAGTCAGTCGTTCCATGGTTCTGATGACTGTGGCTCTTGACAGAGGATGCTGGGGTGGCGATGTGGCTCTCATCTGTCTCCATCAGCCCTGGTCAGATCACCATGGTGGATGAAGCTTCTCAAGAAGGA